CACAGGGGAAGGCATGGAGAATTCCCAGAAAGGCAGTTGAGTAATGGAAGGTGATGGGTCCAGATGGAGCAGAGACATCTTCAGAAGAGAGTCCCTCTTCCTCCGCTCTGGTTTCCATGCCGCTGAGCTTTGACAGCACTAAAACTTCAGGTAATGTCCTTGTGGAAGCCTTTCCTTGCTCAGAAGGGGGAGCTGGTTGCAATCCACTTACGCCATATCAAGCTGGGAGGAACATGGCATCTGTACAGACAGTTGGTCCCTGCAGCGTGTGTAGGACCATGCGCGAAGACACAAGGTGGCCCTGCAGCGAGGATGTGAATGTTGGAGTGAGGAAGCCTGGGTTGGTCTCTCTGCATCAGAAGTGTAATATAGGTGTACAGGACAGTGTCTTTGGCTGTTGATTTGTCTTGGCGCTGTCCTGGTTTCCACCCCAGAGGCTACTTAGGTTTTAGGAGGATGGTGTACATCTGACAGGCATGGGTTAAGTTGCAGCCTGGGGACGTTCCTGGAGAACCCACTAGGCAAACTCCTCTAGATAGCAGCCGTAATGGACATTGCACAAGTAAGATGCAATCTGTGCCTCCATCTCATGATTTTTGTTGTTTTTTTTAATAAATATTGTGTTTGTGTGCTTGGATGGCATTTTCCATTCAAAAAGGGAGGGAAAGAACGAATGCGTCACCCACATCCAAGGTGCCGGGCACATAACTCAGGAGTATTACTCATAAGACTGCAACCTCATTATCCAACTATGAAGGATGTCTTCCACCAATTTCCTCAGTCTGGCCACAATCCTGAAATTAATCTCACCTAAACAGTCAGTAGCATTTCCGCTATCAGTGCAGGCAGAAATTGTTTTGTTTCTTGGCTGAATGGTTCAGACAAAGAAGAAGAAAGGAAAAGAAAAAAAAAAAAAAAGCCCAAAGTATAATATTTAAGTGGGTGCATTCACTCTGGGCTTTAGAAAAGGATGTCTCCTTCCCAATTCCAAGCAGATGATGGAGTGCATCCCCTGGAAGCCCTGGATGGATTGCCATGATGTTGTCATCATAGTGTGTATCAGCATGTAGGGGTTGAGTCCGTTGCGACTTTATTAGCCTTGTTAGAGCTGCTCTTCCTCCTGCCATCTGAAGCTTCAGTGTGCGGTTCTTCCAGCCTCCCTGCCTTTCTTGTTGAATCTTAACGTATTTCTGTCTGTCATCTCCCACACCAGGTTTCCTGCTCCTAATCCTTGGTCATCACCAGAAACGACTGATGTTGCCCTTGGGCACGCTCATCCTGGCTGAACAGCAGGATGCTTTTCACAATGTTTGCTTTCCAGATGGATCTCCCCTCCCTAAGTCTGCTGTTTTGCTCTGCTGGGGAAAACACGTCTGCCCTGGGGTTTGTTTTGCATGCGCAAGCGTAGGTGGAGCAGATTGGAGAAGACTCAGAGCACCTGGGTGACTGGTGAGCTGGGTTGTTGAAGTGGTTTCCCTCCTGTAAACATCTGAGGAGGAGAGGATAGCTTACCCTTTTGGGTAACAGATGGGATCTGGAGTTACTGTGCCTTTGTGGGCACTGGTAGGATGAGCTGATTTTTGGATCTTGTTGCTTGGGAGAGCCCGTGTGAGGCTTCAGGCTCTCTTAAGTGCATGCTTCTGTATTTCTTTCTCCTGATGGAGAATCACCTGGGTTTTAGCTGCTCTTAGCACTGCCTTGCAATAAACGGCAATGGTGAGCATGTGAGGGTTGAAATTCAGACCTAAGTGCATCTCTCACTGATGTTAAGATTCAGAAACCCAGGGGTCTCTTATGTGCTCTTCATCATACTCTTCCTAAATTTCTGCTCCTGGAGTGGAAGAGGCTGGCAGCTGAAGTCATGAATTCCCAGCTCTCAGCCACTACTGCTTGTTTTCCTTCCTAAAGAAAGGAGATGAAGTAAAGGTGCTTTGGGACACCCAGCAGAAAAAGCATCCTTATAACCAGAGCAGTGATGGTGTTGCTCAACAAGAAGTTGGACCTGGGATGTCCTAGACAATACAAGGCAAACTGGCAGGCCGCACATCGCCTTGCCCTGCCCGTTAATCTCTAAGAAGCTGCTAACATTTCTTCTGTCAGCTGCTAGCTGTGGTTGGAGGCTTTTTAAAAGTTTCCCTTTGCCCCGTGGGCTAGTTTTACCTTACCAAGAGGACACAAGAGTGCTGGTGGGGATGTCCCAGGTGTAGGATGCTGAAGGATGAGGTGGGGTACACAGATTGCCACTCATCTGCTAACGAAGACTATGGTAAACAAGAGGCGATGGAGGACAAGGATTGAGCTGAGTTGCCTGATGATGATTTTCAGAGGTTAAATGGGCAGGTAGTTGGGAATTACATCCCCTCGCTGTAACAACTCAATAAGATCAATGTTTACAAAACAACTCACACAATTTGATCCAAATCTTGATTAAACCGCTAGGCTGGTTGTCCCTAGCCTGAAGCGCTCGGTATATATATTTGTTGTGCTACCTTTTGATGTTTCTCGCAGCCAGCAACAAGAAGCTGCTGATACAGGAGGGGAAAGTCTGCTGTCACAGTGTGTAATTGGCTTGGTATGTTTGCACAGAGGTCACCGACGGCTGGGATTGCTGCCCTGGGCAGATACAAATCATTGCTGCAATTTTATCTCTGAATTTTTCTGGCTGGGGAAATCGCATGCATTTTTTTTTAGTGAGCTTTGTATATAGAGCGTGCATATAGGAAGTATATAGCATGTATATAACAAGTGTTTATTAATACCTTAAAAATACAATTATATTCAGCAAACGGTGACCAGAGCATTATAGGAGCTAAATGCAGTGTGTGAAAAATGGCTTCCTCGTTGGCGTTAACTGAACAAAGCAAGTAGATGCATTAATTAAAAGGCCTTTTGTGATAGCAGACTGATGAATGGACACTGCATTTTCTTTGTAATGGAGCAACTTAGGAAATACTGCATACTTAATAGCTGTTGCAAGGTAGATGGATATGTTAAGGAATCCACAATTTATCTGGCTAATGCTCATCTTGCATCATGCGAGTGTCTGCGGGTAAAACCATATAGCTTGTGGGTGCAGCTCTGGGTTGCATCTCGAAAGCTGCCTGGGCCTCTTGGGGTTGCAGCAGCACTTTTTCCTTGCAGAAGAATTGGATGCTTTTATAGCCAAGAGGGGTTGTGTTTCTAGAAGGGTAGTCCTTAGGATAAAAGCTAAAAGTGGCAAGGTAGGGGGTTGCGTACATGTGTACGCAAGTGCAAGAGATAAACAGCCTGCTGGTGAGAAATGTGAAGATCTTGAATGAGCAGGGCTCTCCAGGTTCTCTCAGATTTGACGTAAACTGAACTGCTTAACTGGATTGTGGCCAGAGTGTTCCTCCCATGGCACATTCAGGATCCTAAAGAAGGCAGGACACTTAAATAAGTGATTCCCCTTTCCCATCGCAGGTTTTTTCACAGGTATCTTGCAACCAGTTATAACCCTCCTCTGCTAATCTGGAAGTCTTAAAACCCTTTAGCAGCTTTAGAGCTTCACATCTGCTTTCTTTTAAAAAGAAGATGCTATTCCCACACTCAGCAGTGATGTTTTGAGTAATCAACACTTGCTCTTGTACCTGGTTTGTACAGCCCAGTTCAGAGACTGCAAGTTGTTGCTGGACACCAGAGCTCATGGTGCTGATGGTGTCTGTGTTCTTAGGCATGATAGTGAAATAGTTTTCTTCCCAGTACTAATCAGTTGTCTCGCTTTTCTTTCCAGATTGGAAGAAAGTCTTGTGTGACCGGGGGAACAGGACTTAGGAAGCAGTTGGTAAGAGCATCTCTGCAGGAGAGGGTCACCTGCACATGGAAGGATGGGGCTCAGGCAGATGCAAATAAAATTTTGCCCTTGAGAAATTTTTTTTTTCCTGGCTTTCATTTATAGAAGCTTCACCCTCTTTTGGACTGAGTTGCAAAACGGGGGAGCTGTTTGTTGAAAGTTTTGAGCTCCTTCTTCTCCAAAACAAAGCCTTCCTGAACAGGCCTTTTATTCCTTCAAAGCTCTCCTCAAGCTACAACCCTGCCAGCAGTATTGTTTTAAGTGCCTGTGCTAACGTGATTAGAAATACCACTTATCTAACTCAAGTAAAAAACCACCTGTTTACCTACTCAAGCATAGCTGGTGGTCTGCCTAGTTGTCTTTTTTCACTCCCACATCGTTGATTTTTGTGCCAAACGAGGTTGTACACAACCATCCTACAGAAAGCTAGCAAGCAGGATTTGGTGATGTGTTGCTTTTCTGTGCGCTGATATGGTGGCAAGGCTGGGGAGGGAGTCCCTGTGCGTCATGCCTTAGCTTCACTCATATGGAGAGCAACCTGGTCCAAGAGCTGTCTCAGAGCTGTGGCCATATTTCTGTGTTCTCCCTGTGTTGTCATTGTGCTGGTCTTCTGATGGTTTCGTGTCTTTGATCTCTAGAGCTAGCTATGTACAGAAAAAAATGAAATATGGAGAATGGCAGTGTTTTGAAACACGGGTGCTTAAAGATCCCCTGTAGAATTAGAATCATAGACTCATAGAATGGTTTGGGTTGGAAGGGACCTCTAAAGGTCATCTAGTCCAACCCCCTTGCCATGGGCAGGGGCATCTTCAACTGGATTAGGTTGCTCAGAGCCCCGTCCAACCTGACCCTGAATGTTTCCAGGGATGGGGCATCCACCACCTCTCTGGGCAACCTGGTCCAGTGTTTCACCACCCTCAGCATAAAAAAATTCTTCCTTATATCTAGTCTGAATCTACCCTCTTTTAGTTTAAAACCATTCCCCCTTGTCCTGTCACTACACGCCCTACTAAAAAGTCTGTCCCCAAATTCCCTGAAATCACTGAGGGCCACGTTGTTCTGTAGGTCTTCAGGTTTAACGTCATGTCCCTCCTCTTGGAAACTCTTCCCAGGGTGAATAAAGCCTTGTTGGTCTCGTGTGCAGTGTTGAAAGGTAAGCAGGGGAGTGCTGGTCCCATGCCACGCTGGTGGGATGTGCATGCATTCCCTGGATGCTCAGTGGACTGGTCCACTCTCAGGGGACTTGCCATCTGCTCCAGCAGCAGATCCATAAGCAGCAACTCTGTTCTTGGCCAGGACAGCTGAAGCCAAGCTCCATTGGCTTTTCCCAGGACTATTCTTTCATTTTCCCTCCCATCTGATTTACCTCCACTTGGAGGTGTAGGGAGAAGCTGTGGATTTACAGGACTCTTCCATGGTGTCCCTTGAGACAGCAGCTCTTGATTCATCACCTGCAAGGCTTGTATATGGGGAGAGAACAGAGCTTCGTGTAATTTTCATGTTACCTGCGGCAGTACCATTGCTGAATCAGTGGGACGGGTGCCCATTTTGGTACGGGTGATGTTTCCTTAAATATCAGTGCTCATTGCCCCTGGATCACCTTGCAGCAGTACTGACTAAAGAGTATTAGTGGTGTTATTGCTGTCCTGAATAGTCCCCCAGCACCACTTTTGCTGGGGAGAGATAACATAAATTGTCCTCCTACAAGGATCTGGGCTGAAAACTAGAGGATTTGGCTTTCAGTACGAGCTAGTCGTGCCTTAAAACAAATTTTGCTGAAGGCGTCTTTTCTCAGCTTTATAGCTTTCCCTTTCCATTTCTTGCTTTGACGTGCCGTTTCTTTCTGTGTGGCAGAAGGGACTGGCTGCGTGGGAATATGGCCTCTGGGAGCTGCCTAGACCGATGTGTTAGAAAGGTGTAGTTGACCAGGTGGTGGGGCTGATGGTTTTAGCAGTGAGGGGGCAAATAGCTGTTGTGCCATCTCTGTATCTCTGAGCCGTCTTGCTCTTGCTGGACCTGGAGTCACGAGCCTGGTGCAGGGCGTTGTTTGGTGGTGTGAATTATGAAGAACGCCAAACGTGATGAATGTGAAAGTCCCTTCGCGCTTTGAGAGATGTGTTGATGGTGTCAGCCAAGCCGGGGTCAAGATATTTGTCTTCCAGCAGCTGCCGTGATGGTCCCTGGCTGTGTTGACAGCGTGTTGGCCCCTGTTGTTTTGTTGACCTGTCCAACTTCGTAACTGTTTCTGTGGTGTCTGTGTTCTTGGACACTTGCTGATCACCCTCTCCTCACTCTGTGTGTACCGTGGGTCTGACTCTCTGCCTGTGTACATGCTGCGTGATGAGGATGAGGAAAGTGGGTGGGAACTGTTTGGGGAGGGTCACCCCAGCTGCAGGTTGGGTATGGGATGCTCTTGAAAGCCTTGCTGTTTGGTAGCCACATGTTGGTCCTTTGGGAGCAAACCTACAGAAGGACATCTCTTGCAGCAGAGAGGCCATATCTCTTCCTGTACAGATTTGCTGTTATTCACCTCCTGATACCCTTAAAGTCCACGTAGCGGAGTTGTTTTTAGCTCCTTGATTCTCCCCGCCTGGGATCTGCATTGAGCGAGCGCTGGTCAAGGCACTTTTGCTGGGAGGGGTGTACAGAGTGCAAGCACAGCGTGCTCCCTGGCCCCAGCCCGCTTCATCCACGTGGCCAAGTGTTTGCCAGAGGCTGCTGAGGTCTGGAGAGGCCACTCCATGCTAAGTGCACCAGCGGGTCCTCCCTGGGGATGTTGTTCAACCGGCCTGACCCATGCTTCAGCCACTCAGGTGACGCAAGTAAGAGGTTGACTGGGGCTCAGCCTGTGCTTGGATTCGCGTCCACTTGGGAGCAGTGAGCATCAGCTTCAGTGCTCAAACTTTTCTTGTATGACCAAGTGTTTTTTTTTCTTCTTGTCTCTGACTAGTCATTTGTGCTTTCAGGTAGAGGCACGGTGATTGGAAAAATTGTGTTTATATCAGTGCATAAAAAAACATATGCATGCATACAACTATATATAAAAGATACCTTTGTTTGCTGAAGCAAATGGAGCTGTAACATCCATGTGTTGATGCCCTTATTGTGCCCAGGCCCTTCCTAGATCTTGTTGCCTTATCCCTGTCCTTCCGATGTTTGCAAGTGTTGCTGTTGAACCTCACAAATGCTGTTTTCCATGTGGATACTGATTTTGTCTTTAGGGGTGCTAAGGAGTTGGGGACGTTGTTTGTCCAAGGGCACATACAGGAGCTCAAAGTGATGTGTACTTTCTGGTGGACTTGGGTTGCTATTGCTCCTCTCCCAGCGTGCTGCTCCGTCTCCTCGTACCACATGTGGTTCCCGGCTGCGGCGTTGCTCTGCGGGATGCTGTCAAGTGTGTATGGAAGGCAAAAGGAGCCATTATGCAACATCCTTGTGGCTGTCCCAGCTGTCAGCATGTGATGTGAATGGTGTGGTGACCCAAAATAGTTTCTCCCTGGGTGGTGGGTTAAGCTGGTACCTACCCACGCCTGCCTTTGTCTGGGTGTCCTGATGTTTAGCATTCAGTACGCCACCCACCTTACAGCAACGGGCAGTGTCGCTGGGCTGTTAGCATATTTTGTGTTTTCTCAGACCAGTTTCTTGGCCAACGTTTCAGCACTGGGGTGGTTTCTGGCCAGATTTCACCCATGTGGTGGTCCCTGCTCAGTGAGCAGGACTGGCTTTGCCTCCGCAAAGCCTGCGGCTCCTGTCTTGCTGCTTTTTCCCTGCATCTCAACGCTTGCGTTCCTGCAAGTGAACAAGATAACCACCACGTCGTTTTTGTAGCAAACTCTCCTTGAAGTGACAGCCGTGGGCAAAAGCGTATTGATGTGGTGCGTTGGGATTGCTGATTCGCTGGGCTGTTGTCCTAATCTCCTTAGCATTGAAAGAGTTGCCGCTCCGAGCTTCCTCGGTTGTCTTTCTTGAGAAACACCGCCTCCGAGTAACTCGGGATCTGCACAAATTCCCCGGTCTTCCCCGAAGAAGTAGGAAGGTGTTCTCCCACTTCAGCAACGTGGTTCGGGTTTGGCAGAGTGTGGAACTAGAGTGAAAGCTTTCCACGCTTGGACGCGAACGTTGCTGTCTGGCCGCGGGAGGTGTCTGCCGTGCACCACATGGGAAGAGGGTTTCTTGTGTTTTGGGAGTGCTCCTCAGATGGGGAAAACCTGGGTGTTAAGGAAGGATTTATCTTTTTTTTTTGACATGCGGGGGGAATACAGGGAAATGAAATTATAGTTATTGCAGTAGCTATTGCTAAGGACAGCTCCTGGATGTTTGTCAACTTCAAAAATGAGCTTAATCTCCACCACATATTAAGGGATTGATGAGAGCTTTCCTGTGCTGTGCAGGTGTTTGGACTAAGCACTGGCACCTGAAAATGCATGAACTCTGGAAATCCAATGTTATTCCCACTTCTCAATCTCCTGTGGCATCGTGAATCTGCTGGTGGCTGCCATCACCTATTTTCCAGCCTATAAATGTCCTCTTTTGCAGCTCGGGTGGGATGGGGGAAAGATGAGACTGTCCTTGCCCTCCCTCCATCAAATTGCTACCAACTTCAGGTTGAGATGCTGGGGTTGATGACTTAGCTTTATTTATGTATGTGTTTATTTTTTAAAGAAGTGGAGGGACTGATTTTTTTTTTTCCTCTTTTGACCTGGAATTTCCAGAAACTCGGGTTCCACAATCAAGAGTAGGTGCCTCCTTGTCTTAAAAGCAAAGACATCTGTGCAACCGCCTTAATTTCTGCAGTGAGCTGCCAATGAATCTGTCCTGTGTCAGGCCAGACTTTTTGGCTGCAACCTTGGTTTTTCAGGGCACATCAGTGTCTTCTGAATTATCTGCATCCCTGGGCCTTACAACTTTTCTCTTCTCTTCCCTTTGCCAGCTTTGGATTTTTTTGTGTGTTTTAAAAACATCTCCTCCACACACGGGCAGGTTTCTGTGCT